TTCCATGATCCAGTTTGCCTCTTGGGGATCCCATCACAGCACCTCCCTGCAGTCTGAACTTAGTTGCTGATCTCTGTGAGGGGGGTGGGACTTAGCACACACCCCTTAGGTCAGCATCTCCCAGTGGCTAGTTTGGGCAGATCACCACCTCGCATGCTGACTCTTGTGAATCGCTTTTTAACACTTTGTCTATCCTGCAGCCAAAAAAAGAAAGAAAAGAAAAAAAACCCCACAAAACCCACGGCACCAAGTCTCAGAGCCCAGCTCAACTGACTTAAGCTCACCTTGTGACATTAAAAATAGCAGTGTAGTTATTCCTGCTCGGGCTTAAGCCTGGGCTCTGAGACCCACCTCCCTCACCTGGTATCAGAGCCTGGGCTCCAGCCCAAGCAAGAATGCCTACACTACAATTTTTGGTGCCGCAGTGTGAGCCCAGCTCTGAGACTTGCTGCCACGGGGCTTTATTTTTTCCAGTGTAGACGTACCCTTATGTGAATCTCTCTCCATGTTCATTGTCTAGCGGAGTGGTTCTCAACCAGGCTCCCGGGGCCCCCTGCAGGGCCATGAGAAGGTTTCAGGGAGTCCGCCAGGGCCAGTGTTAGACTCGCTGGAGCCCGGGGCAGAAAGCTGATGCTCCACCTCATAGGGCTGGAGCCTGGGACCCAGAACCTTGCCACCTGGGGCTGGAGCCGAAACCTGAGCAACTTAGCTTCGCAGGGCCCCCTGTTGTGTGGAAAACCAGTTGTTATGGCACAGGTAGGCTGTGGCATTCTTATAGCTTGTTGGGGGCACCTCAGAAAGTAAAAGGTTGAGAATCCCTGCTCTAGGGAACTCAGGTACTGGACTGAAGCTTTGTGAACTGCAGTGTATTCCTGTGAATTTCTAGGCACCTAAAAGTTAGGTGCCATGATGCTCAGCGTCACAATGCCTAACTCCTTTTGTGCATCCAGGTCCAAGAGACTTTAATAGGGCCAGGATTTCTCCAGCAGTATCCCTCTCAAATCTCGCCTCAACATTACAGCGCTCAATCATCAAGTCTTTACTCAGTCAAAACTCCTCTTGAAATCCAAGGGCCAGATTCTTATCTGTTACGATACTGTAAATGCACAGTAACTTTTGACTCAGGAAGGACTTCAGACCGAAGCTCATATGACCTGATCCTGCCAAGTGCTGAGCAACTGTTAAGGATGCTCTACATCTCAAGGAATTGCTCAGGACCTTGAAGCATCAAACCCTGATTAATGCAAAATATAGGGCAACCTTGAGAGTCTGAGCACTTTCAACTGACTAAAGTCAATGGGAGCTGAGGGTTCTCAGCACTTTGCAGAATTGGGCCCCCAGTGCACAAAAGACTGAGTATAAGATATCTAGTTGGGGAATGTTTGGTACAGGTCTTAAGTAGTCTCAGCGAATAACTTTCTAAAAACATTAAGAGAATCTTTGGAAATAAAAAGAACCCCTTAAAAAAGGGGGAAAGGAATAAATGATAGCTAAAGCAAGATGCTAGTTTAGAATAGTCTGAATACTCTAAAAATGCTTTTAAATGCATGATTATTCTTTGCAGGAACTAAATCTCCCAGTAATAGGACTTTTTTTTTAAAAAAAAAGAAAGGATGATTGCACACATACTATTATATTATTACCGTTTCTCCCCAACTTCACCCCAACTCAGTTCTTTATCTCAACCAGATATTATATCCTGTCTTTTCACTTGTAAGCTCTTTGTCATTTATTATATTTTTGTATTGGGCCTACCACAATGGGGCACAACCTAGCTGAAGCTTTTGGGTGCTACAGCCATATAAATGTTAAACAATCACCATCACCCTTGGTCTTCTGCTTTCCAAAACCTGGCAATAGGGAGTTGTTAAAATGATATTTTGTTGTCTGAAGTGTTGCAGTAGCTCTATTGTGAATTGACTTGCAATAAAAAAGTACGTTTGCAGTGTTGTTGTAGCCGTGTTGGGCTCTCTCAGATCTTGGGACAAGATAGGGGAGCTTTTTAACTGGACCATCTTCCGTTAGTGGAAGGGACAAGCTATCGAGCTTCATGACCTGAAGAGCTCTGAGCTCAGAAACTTGTCCCTTCCACCCCCAAAAGCATCCCAGTAAAATATATTACATGTAATCATTTGCAATAGTTGCCACAGAGATGATACGCGCCGGGGAAGGGAGGTGGTTCTTCCCATAACAAATGGGTGGGACAAGTTCTCCACGACAGACTCAATTTACTAAAATGTGGTCCACACAGGAAAAAGTTTGGGAAGCTACAATAAATAGTAATAACTATTTTTAAACATATGGTTGCAGTCTATGTAATGATAGCAACAGCAGCATGGCTAATTGTTTTGACCGAAGGCAACCGTAGCTTTGACTGGTGTATGATGGAATTCAATATGGGCATATCCAACACTGAAAGCCTTCAACTGTCTCAGAAGTCCTCTGTCATCCACGCATTTGGAAAGGGAAACAAAATGACATTATGAACTGGGTTAAAAAACAGTGCAACTTTACAAAAGAATGCTACGTTTATTTTCAAATGCTGTAAAAAGCCTCATATAAATCTTTTATAATGCTTCTATGTAACTTTCCCCACCACAACCAATGCAACAGTCCAGGGGAAAAAAAATAGCAGTTGTCATTTAGACTCAGAGAATGAGCTTTTGTAATATGAACAACATTAAAAGGACAAGGTACAGCATGTTACAATGCTTGAAATTACCCCACACTGTATGCAATGACTTAGGTTTTTAATAATTGACCTATAAAAATAAAATTTACCTAACTCGTCAGCAAGGCAAATTAACAGTGCAAATGCAGTCTCAACAATATTCAATTCTGAATGCTGGCAACATTACTTTGTACTTTTAACCCCTTCTCACACAACAAAATAATCCCCCTGACCATCATTTACTGCCTGTACCTCAGTTAATTAACCCATGCTGATTCAAGAGGGACCCAAGTCCAAAAATTCAGCTTTATTTCAATCCAAACTTCCTCCTCAGTTTGGGGGTAGTCAGATACAGGATTTTGGTTCAGGCTCACCTCTATGCAACTGATGATTTAACAGTTTCTCCTGCTGGAATAGGTTAACTTCCCAGAAAAAAGCCTTTTATGAATTGTATACCCCATTCCACATTTAACAGAAGTTAATAAAACATAGGCATGGAAATCAAAACTTCACAAGGTTGCAATCATCAAGCCATTTCAGGATCTTTGGTACGCTGAGAATAAGAAAGAAAATGGCACAATGACAAACACTGGCAAAAGAAAAAAAAGATAAAATTAACAAGCAAAAAGATATGTTGCACTTCCTTGTTTTTGGAAAGCCAGTGTAGATAAACCTTCTGTTGCCTTTAGATCATTACAGTGTCATTGTTTTGCCTTTAAAAAGAATTCCCACTACCCTTCTAAAAGCAGTATACTAGTATTTTCTTTAATTTGACTTGATTAGATTAAAATAATGCCATTTTTTCAGAAAATAAATTCGACTATCATGATAAGGGAGATTATTATGCTAAATATACTGCAGTAAGTCTCCCTAACAGTGTAACTCCTATGTGAGCATTCATTTGATTAGCCATCAGCAGTTTTATATGCAAATTATCTTTAGTGTTATGACTAGGAGGGTGTAGCTTTTTCCCTGGTGATAAACCAATTAATATGTACAGACAAGTCAGTGTAGTAGATAGCTTTAAGTTCAATGTATATACTTCTCCTCTCCCCCGCCACACAAATAACCAGTTTTTCTGAGTGTTTGCTATTTTCATGAAATCTCCTTAATAAAATTACCTTCAGGTATCTTGGAAAGTTCAATCACATAGGGCACATTTTTTTTAATCTTTATAAAGAATGGCTACTTACTCTGTATTAACTGTGGTTCTTCAAGATGTGTGGCCCACATGGATTCCACTTCTGGGGTACATGCACCTAATAAGTGTGAGATTAGATTATTTTGAAGAGCAGCATCTGTTGAGGCCGCATCTGTGTCCTGGATGTTCTGAGGGCATAAGGGCCAGAGAGGGCCCAACCATCCCTCAGGGAAGGTGGTCAGGCTGTGAACACATCTCGAAGAACCACAGTTACTGTAAGACAAGTAACCTTGTTTATGTGATTGTCCACATGTGTGTCACTTCTGGTGCCTCACAAGCCGTGACCTCACTGTCAAGAGATCTACTTGCACTCTGTTTAAACAACAGTTGCAGGACAGCTCTGCCAAAGTGGACATCAGATCTGAAACTCTCTACTAAGGAATAGTACTGAATGAAAATGTGGACTGAGTCCAGGTAGCTGCCCTACATAGCTCAAAAAAAGGGAATGCTACTTAGAGAAGTTGCAGAGGCATGATGGAATGGACCCTGATCTTCAGAAGTGGAGCTACGGAAGTTGATTAATAAGTATAAGGGTGGAACCTGTCCTATGTTGGTATGCGCTCACTGTTGAGCAAGAGGAGGAGTATCTTTCTTCCACAGGTGGAGCTACCCTTTTAGGTGTTCTCGGGAGCTCTGTACCAAGGTGAGAGGCTTCTTTGAGGAAAAGAGCAATGTTGTCTCTGGTTGTTTGATGACTGTTAAATTACTCTGTGCATGGGTGCATGTACACCAGGAGAGGAATGCATGTGGACAATCACTCAGACTTTTACAAATATGGTTGATGGTTTTTATACTGTATATTTATATCTAAAACCCACCAGGTCAGCAGTAAAATAATGGTGCTACAACATTAGCCCATGTTGCTTTTTAAAATGATATGTTTTTCTCCAGGTGGATTAGATGGCTTACAGTACAAACAAAGCCACAGTACACAGAGGCATAATTAACCTTTATACACCCATAGGCAGTGCACTTACAAAGGGATGTATGATCCTTTTATTCCAGTACCTTTGTATAATAAAGTTAACAAAAATATTCAAATATTAAAAAAAAAAAAAAAAAAAAGCCAGCTGGCACTGCCAACCAATTCCTGTAGTAGTCTTAGAAATCCTAATCCCGTAGAATTTCTTTGTGAAGTCGATGCGCACCAGAGTCATTGTATTGATATCTACGCCAAGCAGGCCTGGTGATGCAGCTACCTGAGGTTTTTTTTGTTTGTTTTGTTTTTAATTTTGTGGGGTTTTGTTTTGTTTCACAACTTCCCAGCTTTCATGTAGGAAGGGATAGAGCCACGCTGTGTAAGCCCTTCAAACCTCTTGTAGGTATAATTGAGGAAAACCCAGTCTTTGGATTTGTAGTCAGGTTCTGTGGTATTTGGCACTGGAATGTAGAAATCAAAAGGAAAGAATTAAAAACATTAGTATTGCTGGTAAGAGAAGTTGCCACACAATGTCAGGCAAACAATCCTGAAGTTGGTTCTCTCTAGCATCATAAAGACTACAGGTGAAATCCTGGTCCTAGTAAAGTCAATGGAAGTTTTGCCATTAACTTCAGGAGGGCCAGGATATCACCCGGCATCTTTGAGGAAGGAATGCCCTTTATATTGCCTGCCACAGTAAGATACTGATCCACAACTGTGACCACAATTAAAAAACCAACAACTTTTAGGAGTTCACACGCACACGGTATCCCACCAGAAACAGCAGCAACAAATCAGACCTTTCCCAACAGGACTATATCACTCTATATTTACAAAAAGAAAAGGAGTACTTGTGGCACCTTAGAGACTAACCAATTTATTTGAGCATGAGCTTTCGTGAGCTACAGCTCACTTCATCAGATGTTTACCGTGGAAACTGCAGCAGACTTTATATACACACAGAGAATATGAAACAATATTGTTTCATATTCTCTGTGTGTATATAAAGTCTGCTGCAGTTTCCACGGTAAACATCTGATGAAGTGAGCTGTAGCTCACGAAAGCTCATGCTCAAATAAATTGGTTAGTCTCTAAGGTGCCACAAGTACTCCTTTTCTTTTTGCGAATACAGACTAACACGGCTGTTCCTCTGAAATCTATATTTACACTCTTCTTCACTACTTAGTGCTTTTGTGATGTTTGTAGAACATTTAGGAGAGCTAACATTTTACTTTATGAACATCTAATATTATTCCAGTGCTGAACATAGAATTGTTCTTGTAAAATAATTACTCAGAATAAATGTTCCTATAGTTCTAGGCCAACATTTTCAGACGTGGTGCTGAAAGTTAGGTTCTCAAGTTCATATTTAGGCATCAAAAGAATAAGCAACATTTTCTGTGATACTGTGTATCACGAATGCCTATTAAAGTCAATGGGAGTAATAGATCCTCAAAACTTATGAAAATAAATCCATGGAATTTAATTAGCTGCCTAAATATAGACTTAGGTACCTAACTTTAGGCATCCAGGTTTGAAAATTCTGGCATTAAAGGAGGAGGAAAACCAACTTGCCATTATATAGGAGCCATTTCAGAGTTACAGAAAAAAAATTAAGATTTTGGGTAAGTGGGAGGAGCTAGAAAAATAGTAAAGACTGTTTGACGCCAACATACTTAAGCATGCATCTCAACACACATAAATAGTATAACTGAAGCCAGGGAACCCATCACCTTGCAGATTCAGGTCTCATACATTTAAGAATCTCCTGCTATATGCGGACCTAACTTTTTCAAAAGTGCCTATATGACTTACAATGAGAATTAGGTTGCCAAGGATCTAACAGTCCTTAGTACTGCTGCTTGTCTATCGTTTAGATGCTTTTGAAATTTTGCCCACAAAGAATATAACATTTGCTTCTGGCTTAAATTTCAGTGTTACCAAACATCTGAAACCAATTAGTGCAATACACTTTACCAGAAATGTGGTGATATTGTCTATATGGTGAAATCCTGTAGCTGCTTACCGTTAAGGCAACACACCTTCTCTCTCACACCCCCACCCCCACCCACCCACCTTCACACACACACCCCCACACCCCTTTTCCCCCTAGATTAACTCAATATTAAAAGCTATCTTTTCACGCTGCCCGAGAAAGAGGATTAAGGAAGGGGTAAGTTCACAGATTTACATTTTTTTTTATTTAAATGCAATTCACTAACAAAGTTCCCAGATAATCCAAACACAGTGCAGGTCTGAAGTAGCTGGATCAAGATACTAGAAAAATGAATATAATGGAGATAAAATGTATGGTTATATTTTGGGATGTGTTAGATACGACTGCAATTTACAAGGTCTCACCTGGCTGTAAAATATCAGATTCAGGAAATTCATCGAAATTGGAAGTGTCGTCAATACTTTTGATTTCTATAGGAATTGCAGCTGGCCTCTCCCTACACACAAATAAAAGAGAACCGAACAGTAAGAAAGGCTTCATTACCTTTTAATTTTGCTACAGGATGACAATATCCCCCTTGTAAACACGAAGGTCAAGATCCTCAGCTGGTGTACAATGTTATACCTCCACTGACTTCAACTGAGCTAAGTGAGCTGTGGGATTGGGTGGGGTGACCATTAAGGAGAAATATGGGCTTTTACATATGAAGGTACGATATTTATAAGACACAGGTTTACCTTGCATCCTGAAAGGATGGTAGCAGCAGCAGTCCCTACTGGCCATATTTTGAGTGCCACTGAAGTCAGTTTTAAAAGAGATGCCCCTGTGTTTCATTCATAGTTGCAGCCTTTTCTCCTTTTCATTCTCTTTCTCCATGTGATTTCTGTGTATGATTTTTTTGTTTGCTATTTTTATTTGCTGGGGTTTTTTAATTTTCTTTTTTTTCCCCTCCTCAAATGACCTGGTCAGAAGGCTACATGCTACCTGCGGGTGACCACTGGCTGCTCTCGGGGAACTGGCCACATGTATTTTCAAAGCCATGAGCTATACTGGCAGCCTGTTACAGTACGGATAGCTGTGGGAGCAGGGGGAGAGGTGGGAGGTTTCTAAGGTCTGGCCCACTGCAGCCATGGGAGCAAACATGCTGGAGGTAGGTGAGTGCAAATCAGGAATCACTCTGCTTTCCCTGCCACCACTGCTTTCTGTCCTGCATCACTGCAAACTAGTCTGGATTCTCTCTAGTTTAGGGAATGTTAAAAGACTGATCAGCTCTATGAATGTCAGTTTCCCTCCTCTGAGAACAAGGCTGGAATTGCTTGTTTTTCCCAAGAGGTACACTTTAAAATAAAAAGCTAATTAAGACAAGTTATTCCTGCCTTTACAGCATATGAAATTATTGCTACCAAGATTTAGATCCAATATACAAAGCACATCTATATACCTGATATGTCCCCAGTCAACTTCTTCAAAAAATGGATGATCTTTTATTTCCTCTACTCCATTACTACCAATTCTATTTTCTGAATCAATACAAAATCTGACGGGGAGAAAAGGAAGAATGTTACAATCAATGCAGAAAGGAGCCTACAAAATAAATCATTGTACAATCCTGTAGAAGAAATTTTGTAAAATCCTTTAAAATTGTTTTATCTTTGGATTGTTCAACATCCCATTACACCTAGAAAAATCACAGAAATAAAATGTTGTCCGTCATATTATAAAAGGCACAATGCTACAATGGTAATATCTCATATTTCCCCTCCAGCCCCAGGCTTCTGTGACCAAGTTGCTGCCAGGGCTGGTTATTATTCCAAAGCAGTAACAGGAAGACGTTTAGTTTCTTGGAATTTCCAGTTTCTCTATATGGTCTGGCCCAAGAGAGATACCTTGATTTTAAAGCATCCATTTCTGCTAAGTACGTGCTCTTTTTAACCAACCTCCAAAACCTCCTTATCCGCCCGCATTACACAGCGGCATGTTCCACCAGACAAGCAGTCAGTGCTGCGCTGTGATTCAGCCTCCTGGAACTGGTAGCTTAGCCACTAGACAATTGGAGAAGCAAGTGCCTTGTCAAGCATCCATAATGGAGAAAACAACAAGGCCCTTTCAAACAAAGAGCCCAGTCCCTCTAGGTTCTAAGCCACCCATTGATCTCATGGGAGTTGAATCCACTCAGCTACTTGCAGATTGGGAGCGTGCTGCATGACACTTTTCTGCCCTCCCATAAACCCCTTTGCTGACGGACATGCTGCTTTTGTATAAACTGATGTTGCTTCTGAAAGTTGAGTTGTTTAACTACATTCCACTTCTGCTCTCACGTAGTCATCTGTTCCGCACGGAAAGCAGTAGACAATTTGTGCTCAGCAGCAATTGTTGTCCAGCAGATCGAAGATTCTCTCCATTATTTCAGGCAACAGAATTACAAGAGTGTGTGTTCGGCAGTTGCTAACACACTCAGAGCAATTCATTTATAAGAATCAATCTGGGTAACTGGCTATACCTAAATGATCACAACATCCAGATTCATAAAAGATGTTACCTGCCAAACCTTCACAGAAACAAAACTCTTTCTTGCCAGCACAAAGCAAGTTCTGACAGGCATTTCAGTAACGTAACAAGTCAGTCAGGTTATAAATTGACTAAGCCATACTCCCACAAGAGTAATATTCTTGGCTTACATCTGAATGGCACTTGTAGGAAATAATTTCACACCTCAACCTTTGAATATATCAAAGTACCCTTCTGCCAAAAAATAAAAAAGCCAATGAAAAATTATTTCTAATCTGATCCTTGAAACCAAATCCCTACAGGTCAATCAATATTAAGTAAGGAATAAACACCACCACCACCAAGAAATGGCTTTTGGAAATGTGATTTTATCCAGACAGCTCAACAACTCTATATTGGGGTTCTCAGGACAAATTACTTGGTGGCCTTGGAGTGCAGCCACCAACTCTTGCTGGTGGCCACTCTCACGCTTTTTCCTAAAATACTTAATTAACTTTAGGAAAAACAAATAAATATGCACATATATACATCCAAATTATTGTAATTTATTCATTGCTAGCTAGTAAGTCAGTTGTGAAAAGTGATATTAACAAACATACAAGTATCATTTACTCAGCCCCAGAAAACGTGGGGGCAAATTAAGCCCTGGCTGGGGGGGTCAGGGGGAGCGAGGACCATGGGGATGGGTGGCTGGATGAGGCAGCAGGGGGCCAAAGCCTGAAGCTGAGGGGAGGGGGCTTGGGGACAGCCCAAAGCTGCGCGGACAGAGCCTGGGGCCCACCACCACGCATTCAGAGCTCGGGGCTGGAGCCTGAAGCCCCATGGCCAGAAGGTGAGGAACTCACCAAGTGACTGCTCCTCCACCGTTGTGCCCCAGGTGTCTCCAGAGGGGGGCAGGGTCCAACCCTTGCTGGAGGCCCCAGCAACCAACACTAAGGAGTGCATCCAGGAGCAATGGGGAGTGGAGGGAAGGAGGCACTGCTTTGCTCCTCTTACCCCCCATCACAGCACAGGATGCTATGACTACAAGAAAAGCTCACGGTGGCCACATGCAACCACAGTGGCTGCATTTGAGAAATGCTGATTAAGTCAAACTCCATTATATCTGCTGTGTTGTTTTGTTTGGCTCTGAATTGATGTGCTTTACGTGCTGGATGCTGTTCAGTTATTCCAGTTCCCCGATGGATAACAAAAATCAAATTTTCAAAAACATTCTTTTTTTTCAGATCTGTTCTGTCTCTGTTGCTGGAGACAGACACTCCAAGAGATTTGCAGTTGCATTATTCCTGTTCCCTCATGCAAAGCATTCAGATGAGAATTTGGAACAAATTTTTGTGAGGTGTAATTGAAAAACTGAAAAATTGAAATATTTACCAAGAACAGATGAAGTGGATAGCGGAAAGAGTGAAGTGGGAGAGGTACCTGGATGGGGTCCTTCAACTTCTCTTTCAACCTAAAACCTTCTCTGTGTCTAAAATTAAAAGATGCTTTGATCTTCCACTTGATTGAATAATTTATCCCAGATAACTGTGGACCATTATTAATAATTTTTATAGTGCTTGTCACAAAAGACTGCTTCTAAAGTTATATCTTTTGGAAGGTAGCTGTAATAAAGACTAATGCAGCCTATGCAGCCCACGCATCTCATGCTTTACAAGACCAAGTATTACACACTAAAATCTATTATCACTGTTCTTTTCCTGCATCCTCATGATCCTCCCTTTATTCCTCCTCTCTCCCCATTTCTTATATTCTTTCAGGGCCCACTCATGCAGTCCTAATACAGACAGAACTTCCATTGAATGGGGGTTCTGTCAGCCTCTGATGAAGTGAGCTGTAGCTCACAAAAGCTTATGCTCAAATAAATTTGTTAGTCTAAGGTGCCACAAGTACTCCTTTTCTTTTTGCGAATACAGACTAACACGGCTGCTACTCTGAAACATTAGTCTAATTAGTCTAATTCAGGACTTCCCTCCTTAGGGCCTACTCTTGATCCCATCAACTTCAGTGGTAGCAGAATCTGGCCCAGCGAGCTGAACTTCCATCCCTGTAAAGCTTTGCCTCAGGAAATGGTTGTATGGGGAGAAGGAGAGGAGTTCAGCACCTTTCCACACTGCAGAAATGAGTTTCTCTACACACTGGAAAATGAACATAATGGAAGATGATCATGTCTATGGGTCTGAATGGCCGCAAGTGTTTTAGTTACTCACCTTAGAATTAAGTCCTTTGCTTTCTCTGAAATGGGCACCTCTGGAGGAAATACCAATGTTTCTTTCCAGTTCATAACTTTCCTATAAGTTTCTTGTGGCGTTTCTGAGCAGAAAGGTGGATACCCTATATACATGGAAAAAAGCTTAATGAGCTTTTCCAGCATTAGAAAAATGTACTTAGGCCCAGTCTGCCATAAAACAAAGCCATTTTGCTACCTCTCCCTCAAAAAGTTCTGCATGGCAATGTCAACGAAAAAAATTCTCTCCTTGAAAACTACCAAATACCTTTGGAATTGTAAAATTAAAGGTTAAGGGGACTGAATCTGTAACAATTTTTAACAGTGAGGCTGATCAATCACTGGACCAAACTACTAAGGGAAGTGGTGCATTCTCCATCTCTTAATGTCTTCAGATTAAGAGTGAATGCCCTTCTGGAAGATCTACTTAGTTGAACATGAATTGTTGGGCTCAATAAAAAAAAGTTACTAGATGAAATTCTATGCCCTGTGTTATACAGCAGGTCAGACTCAATCATCTAATGGTCCCTTCTGACCCTAAAATCTATCCCGGGGTTGGTAACAACATACCTATTAGCATTTCATACATAATCACTCCCAAAGACCACCAATCACACAACTTGTTGTACCCAGTCTGCATGAATACTTCCGGAGCAATATAATCTGGGGTCCCAACAGTAGAGTATGCCTGGGGGAAAAAAAGTAGGGGTTGGGTGGGCTCTTTATATGGGTTATACACTCACCATTTTAAAGTTCTGTGAAAAAAAAAACGTATTGGAATGAATATATAGAGTATTAATATTTAGTGGAAAAAGGGTAAGTCATTTGATAAGTCACAATACATAAAACTCAAAAGAGACCGTTCATTTAGATACACAAGCACAGAACCAAAAATAACTTTGAAGTTAGACTGCCCCCCCGAAGTGTGACGAGACCATAGTACATACAGACGGAAATATCAACGATTTCTTAGATCACAGTTCTTTATCTACATTTTAGCCTACCGTATTACTAGTAAATTACAAAAGAAGTCAGAAAAAGTGTACATTCAACATCTGACGCTCCTGAAACACTAACAAACTGTTCTGTACATGAGCACGTCTGCATTGCAGAATTAACTCAGGCTCTTATGCAGGTGTTTCCCCTAACATGGCTCCCATTCACACACAAAAAAGTGAGGTGTGCTTTGTACCTGAGCTCGCTGGCCTATCCTGGGGTACAGGTTAAAGCTAGAGCTGGTCAGGAATTTCCCAACGGATGGAAATTTTGAATGTCACTCATCTCTACTTAAAGCCAAAATGCTAATTACACTCAGGGTGGTAACCTGCCTACTTTGCAGTGAGGACGCGGGCTCAATCACTCAACTGCTGATAGTTTTCCAATGCCTTCCCACAGATCCCACTCCATGCCCAGAAAGACAGAGACGTTCTCCTATAATTCACTAGGAAACAATCACAGAGCATCTCATTTTACTGCAGTGCAAAGAACCATGGGATGAGACCTCAGAAGTCCTAGTGTCTCACACAAGCAAGTACAGTGCCAGTGTTGACTCAGGCCAGTGGACATGACTTTATGGTTTGGCTGCTCACACCCAAACTGGGCCCATCCAGGGGCTCTCGCCCAACTGCCAATCACCCAAGTTAACAGTGCAGTGAAGACACAACCTATAAAATTACAAAACACACAAGCAAATAGGTGTTTTGAAAAACAAATGTGTCAGATATTTTAAACCAGCTCAACCACCAATGTAAATTTTATCGAGTCAAGAAATGCCAAAGTTAAGGGTCAGAGAGCAATGTTTGCTTGGCTGTACTGCACACATGCAATGTTTATTATTTTTTCTATTTACAAATATTTATTAATCTTTTCAAATACAGCAAAGACATACTTTTGTTGTTATTTTATGAGTTTAATATGTTACAGTTTGTGATTTACAAAGCATACAATCAATTATATGAACTCAGTTGTACAATGTAGTTGAGTTACCTTTACTGGTGGACTGTTTTTGAATATCCTTACTTAGGCACTAATCATGCAAACACTTGTTGTTAGCATTAATTCAATGTATGACGATAGCACTTAGAGGACCCAACTGAGAGGGGGGCCCCACTGTGCTAGGTAATATACAAACGTATGTAAGAAGCAATCCCTGCTCTGAAGAGTTTCCAGTCTAAATGACAAGACAAACGAAAGGTGGGAAGGGAAACAAAAGCACAGAGAAGTGAATTGACTTGACAGCAGGTCCAGTGGCAGAGCCAGGAATAAGTGCTCCAAGTGGCAGATCTGTATAAAAGTTTCCATGGCTCCATGCTATGAACATTCATACCAACTGAAGATCTGCCCTCAGGTCTTGTGACTGAATTTGGTGCCTTAACTACTAAACCACACTGCCTCTTGACTACAGTGGAACTACTCACTGCTACTACACGAAGTTAAGCACGTTCATGTTTGCATGATCTGGGCCTTTGAGATTTTAACAAACTGTTCTGTATATGAGCGCGTCTGCATTGCAGAATTAACTCAGGCTCTTATGCAGGTTGAACATTAACGCAGACTTGAACATTAACGCAGACTTTTAAAGTTTGTCTGTACAAAGAGGTATGTGCAGACAACTTTATTTCTACAAAACGTAAATAGGTTCCACTGCAAAGTGACTCACCAACTGTCGTCTGTTCTTCTTCCACGTTTCTGCTTTTCTCTTTGAGTTCATATTCTGAAATGCTTAGTTACAAAACAGAGTTATTAGACATTAAAAGATTTGTGAAAGAGTACAAGAAAGAAAGAAAAAAAAAATCAGCCCGATTGATAACATGTCGTTTTTACAAAATAATCTTTTTGTACCTTTAAAATGCCCAATTATAGATTTTTATTTTTTTGGTAGAATGGAAGAGGGAAAAGGGAGGTTATGTCAAACAATTCTAAGCTGCCTGGACAGGGAATGCTTAAAGTGCAATAGTAACAATAATGATATTTGATACAATGATCCAAGGATTTCTTAATGTTTTACAACATTAACTAACTGAAGCGCAACACCTTTATGTTGGGCCTGGTAATGTATATACACAGATTACTCCTTCCACCAATAAAATACTGGCACCTCTGACCATGGCAGCCATTGCACAGCAAAGCTGGAAGTTAAGAACAAGGAATCCGAATTCAACCACAAGGGGAATTTAGATCAGAAGCATGTAATTAGTTACCTACCATTGAAATGTGACCATGGCAAACAGGATGACACCCTTACCATTATGAAAAGTTTCATCAGATCATTACTGATTCCAACTGATGAGGACATTCTAGCTGAAAGAAAGTTTCCAGAAGTACAGGGTCCGCTAACATTATGGGGGATGGGTTCAATTCAGACTCGGAGAAAAGTGCCACCTACAGAATCACCAACACCATCTCCTTCCTCTAATGCCTAGCTATTCTGTGGAGTCTTCTCCCATTCAAAAAACAACTCAACCCAACCCAGTCTTGCTTATTCTGTGAAACCTAACAGGCTTAAAATTACAGTGTGGAATGGCTGCAGTCTAAAGCCGTTTAACACTTTAACTAGAACACGTTTATACTTACAAAAGTCACTTGGTGGATTGTGTGTGAGGTTCCTGTAGAATTCAGTTCGATGAGCTTTCTTTAAACCAGTGCATAGTCCAAAATCAGATAGCTTCACATGACCCTACAGAATCAAGAGAAGATAAAAACATTATTGGAAAAGTTGAGTGTTAGAGGGAGCAACGCATCTTAATAACATTACCTGCTCACTTCAGAAATGCGTGAACTGCAGATTTGTGCAGGATTATTTATCTAGAGGGCATTATAATGACTGAATCTTTATACAGCAAGAAAGAATGATTTTTTCTTAGCAGGGGAATCATTGCCTCTTCTTTGTAATGAATGAACTATGCTTAATTATTCCAAAGAATTTTGGAGTTTTGTTTATCTGATGCTTGGGGTTAGAGGGAAAAAATGGAAAAGTACAATACTGTTTACTTAGGAAGTCTCAACTAGGATGAAATATACTTTAAAAAATTTAATATCGTGTTTTAATCCAGTTTTATAGTTAGATTTAGAAAGATACAAAGGTGGTCATCAGACTCACATAAGGTAACAGACTAGTTTAGATTCTTGGCTCTTACCAGTAAATCTCCCTTCTGATCAGTTAACAGATAAAAAGCCAAATGAGATAATGGCATCAAAAATGACAATGATCATTTAAAAGAAAAACTGAACATTTATGTAGCATTATCGTATATTTTGTACTTTATGCTTTTCTTAAAGTAACAGACTGCAACAACAATTAATGTATGTGAATGTGGTTTAAGCTCGACACTACAGTCTGCAAATATATGGACATTGTGGATGGGTCTTTTCTAGCATCTAAGAAGATCCCCATTGTAAACACTTTCAGTAAAGTGAAACAATTTAGTGCTACTTTTGCTATGCTAATTGTATAGATGTTCTACAAGATAAAATATGGGAGGCAGATTCTGATTTCACTCCCACCAGTTTAAACACTAGTGTAATGCTAACGGATACAATGGAGTTATTTCTGATTAACACACATGTAAGGGAGATTGGCATCAGACAGTAGAAGTTTAAACTTAAATAGTTTACAAACAAGTTACATGCCTTGGCATCCAGCAAGAGGTTATCTGGTTTAATATCTCTATGGATGAATCCCAGCTGATGAATGGCATCAATGGCCAGCACAGTTTCAGAAAGGTAAAATTGTGTTTCCTCTTCTGTTAAAGTGTCTTTCTTCATAAGTAAGGTCATCATATCACCTACCCACAGAGAAAAACACATTAGAAAGACCAGTGCATTTTAATTACCCAGGATAGCCCTACTGGAAATGTCAGTAGATTCCATTAGAATCCTACAATTGGCTTCTGCAGGTTTCAACTGCACGGAATTGCTAGCCCAATAGACCCATTGTTACTCTGCTTCAGAGCCTGTTTGGCAAATTGGACCTAGCAGGAACCAGCTGAAAATTATCAACTGGATTTTTAAGTAGGGTACTCAGTGAGGTGGAGTCAGTTTAATTACGTATCTCCTAACATATACCACACAGTAATTGTTTTCAGCAATAGCCACTTTCACAGTTATTGGCATCTGTAGAGAACAGCAGAACAGCTGATTACAGGAATTATTTCATCCAAAACCACAACTATGATTACAGATGTTTTAAGGGCTTAAAAAAAATGAAAAAAAAATGCAGGAATGGTGATATCACTGACACTGAAATTTAACATAGCATAAAAATCCCATTAAGATTGCTTTTGTCATCAACTACATAAAAAAAGGAATAAATACTTTAAGCACTGAGCCACTGAACTCATTGGTTTGCTTTTTACCTCCAGGTAGGAACTCCATGATCAGGTAAAGATTCCTTTTATCCTGAAAACTATAAAACATTTTCACCACCCAAGCACCATCCGCTTCAACCAATATGTCTCTTTCTGCTCTGATATGGGCCACCTACATGCAGATAAACAAATTGTCATTAATATCAAGGACAATTATTACTTTAATATTAAATTGTATATCTAGTTACTGTAACAATCACTACATTGTTCATGATCTCTGATGAAGAAACTGTTTATAATCCTGTGTCAGGGTGCTGGGCAACAGCAGCTGAGCCAGCACTCTGGTCACTGTAACTAATTAATTACTCTAGAGTAGACCTCATTACGAAGAGCTGTGCCTAACTGATGGGCTGAGGAGAACGAAGAGGCTAATTAGCCCATCAGGCAGATGATACAAAAGGCACAGGAAGGAAGGAAGGAAGAGAGGGGAAGCAGAAAAAGAGAGAGAGAGAGAGAGATCTCCCCTGCCTCCGGAGCTGAGGGCTCCCTAGGACAGTAGGCATAAGGCTGTACAGCATATAAAAGAGTGGTGGAAACACTGTGGTAAATAAACTGCATGGAGTGTTTTTACCAATAAAAGGTCTCTGAGCAGTTTGTGGGCTTGAACAGAGAGGCAGGAACAAGCCGCCCTGGTACACATCTCTGCACAGAATCTCTGTGAAGCCAACTGTGAGAGAATAACTATATGGCAGTCATGATTTTTTGGAGGCAAACTCCTGATTCAAGAGACTATCTCAAAGCATTCCCAAAGGCAGGATGCTGTTTGTAAAGGGTGTTTCTATTTTATGCATAATATTCAGTAGTTGAACAGAGCTTGTGGAAAATGGAATTTCTTTGGATGTTTTATTGAAACTGGCTATTGGATTTTTTTATTTCAAGAAAGGCATTTTTTTACATATTAAAGTACAAACCCATGTCAAGGTCTGGTCTGTAATGTAACTTTCCCGATTGTGAATTCATAGATACCTGCAAATGGCTGGAATGTAATTTGAAAGGCAATGTGAAAGCCTGGTACAAGTATTGGGTAAAGTGTAGGATCTTGTCTTAAATCATGCAGAAACAGAGGTAAAATGACAGGTGGAGTATTATTATTGACAATAATTATCAGACCTCTCATTTATGTAACCACAGTAAGTGAGCTGATAACTGTTTTGTATAATACGTTCCTTATAGCACAATTGACTATGAATCTTCTCTAATAACAATGGGCTGGTTGCTAAATTAACCACATCTGTAGAAATGAGAGATACATTGGTACTGCCAATTTCAGCAGTTTTTACTTCACAGCCTGTTTGTCTGGCAGAAGACTAGTTCCATCATCAATACAGGTAAAATACAAGTGCCTGAGCTGCAGCAAAATATCCCAAGTGATATTCTGTTGGTTGAATACAACTTACGAGCAAAACTTTTGAAAAATATTAATCAACTCTTCACAAAATGCAATGAGAAATATCTTAGGCTTTGGGACACTTATCTGAAAACCGTTTACAGAGTAGTACAGGTGGAAAAGCACCGTGACGTGCTATTTTTGTCTGCAGCACTGGCAGTTGGGAGAACTGTGGTGCTGTAAAGGGGGAGCATTTTAGTGGAAAAGAGGCTTGTGCAGAAAGACTACATGGTATGATGTAACTCAGTGAGGTTCGCTGGAACTTAGGGATAATGCAGCTAAGCACTGTATCCCATTGTGCACTGAGCGTTCCCTAATTCTTAAAGAAATTGATATATGAAGAGTTGAACAGTAATCCCTGACAGCTGAAGGTTTTTCATGCGTCGGATACAAGAAATTATTAAATAGAAGGAAATCATCTTACATGTTTCCAGCTTTCAGAGCTATTTTCACCAAGCAATAGAGAGATCTGAACTTTAATGCAATTTTTTTTACCCCCCTACCTCCCAACTCTACTGGCCAGAAATATTTATGCGATGACAGTAGACTTCACATTCCTCATTCTGTCACCTACCCGCAGCAGCCTACTCACTTCAAGTTATTTGCCTACCCCTAATTAAGTGATCCCATATTACTACCTTGAAAATGATTTCTTTCCTCACTCCCTCCTTTGCAGAATAAGGATATTGCATAATAAACTTAGTTTAAAAACAAATCATGATGATCTCTCCCAATGTCAACATAGTTGAAATTGTGTAGATTTTATTGCATTTATCTTCAATGTGTTGTTCCTATAGAACACATTAGGCAGCTGAACATTGAGCAAATGTAGGCTCCCTACTCCCTGTAGGTATGTCTATACTGCAGCCGTGGGTGTAATTTCTGGCTCAGACAGGTGTACCTGCACCTGCTTTGATAGAATTAAAAATTGCAGTGTTGTTGCAGCTACACAGGCAGTGTCACAGGCTAGCTGCCTGAGTGTATAACCCAGGAGAGAGGGTGGGACTGTACTTTGGCTACTAGTCTCTGCCACCACCCGTGTTGCCCATAGTTATTTTTAGCACATTAGCTCAGCCAGAGCTAGCGTGGGTATATCTACCTGAGCCAGAAGTTACACCTCTTGCTGCAGTGTAGACATAACAATTATGTTTAAATGCCACAGGTTATATTTCAGTCATGTACCTATTCAATGGAACATCTATTTAAAACAATGGGATGGGCAAAACATATTTGACCAGCAGAGGGCTTAACAACCATATCTCAATTTTCAATTTGGGCCAAGAAAATTTTTTCAAGAAGCTTCTTGCATATAGAGTACTGTCAGAATGCTCTGTACTTAAGCTCGTTCTTTTTTCAGTTTAAACTAGGGCTGTCAAGTGATTACAAAAATTAATTGCAATTAATTGTATGATTAATCATGCTGTTAAACAATAACAGAATTATTTAAATATTTTTGGATGTCTTCTACATTTTCAAATATATTGATTTCAATTACAACACAGAATGCAAAGTGTACAGTGCTCACTTTATATTATTTATTACAAATATTAGTACTGTAAAAAACAAAATAGCACTTCAGTTCACCTAATACAAGCACTGCAGTGCAATCTCTTTATCTTGAAAGTTCAACTTACAAATGTAGCATTATGTACAAAATATAAATGCATTCAAAAAATAAAACAATGTAAAACTTTAGCGTCTACAAGTCCACTCAGTCCTACTTCTTGTTCAGCCAATCACTCAGACAAACAAGTTTTTTTACATTTGCAGGCAATAACGCTGCCCTATTCTTGTTTATAATGTCCCCTGAAAGTGAGAACAGGCCTTTACATGGCATTGTTATAGCCGGCGCTGCAAGATATTTACATGCTAGATGTGCTAAAGATTCTTATGTCCCTTCATGCTTCAACCACCATCCCAGAGGACATGCGTCCATGCTGACGACGGATTCTGCTTGATAACGATCCAAAGCTGTGTGGACTGACGCATGTTCATTTTCATCATCTGAGTCACATGCCGGCAATTGAAGGTTGATTTTCTTTTTTGATGGTTCACATTCTGTAGCTTCTGCATCAGAGTGTTGCTCTTTTAGACTTCTGAAAGCATGCTCCACACCTCGTCCCTCTCAGATTTAGGAAGGCACTTAAGATTCTTAAACCTTGGGTTGAGTGCTGTCGCTACCTTTAGAAATCTTATATTGGAACCTGTTCTATGTTTTGTCAAATCTGCAGTGAACATGTTCTTAAATAGACTCATAGACTTTAAGGGCAGAAGGGACCATTATGATCGTCTAGTCTGACCGCCTGCACAATGCAGGCCACAGAATCTCACCCACCCACTCCTGTAATAAACCCCTAACCTATGTCTGAGCTACTGAAGTCCTCATGTCATGGTTTAAAGCCTTCAAGGTGCAGAGAATCCTCCAGCAAGTGACCCGTGCCCCACACTGCAGAGGAAGGGGAAAATCCCCCAGGACCTCTTACAATCTGCCCCGGAGGAAAACTCCTTCCTGACCCCAAATATGGCAACCAGCTAAACCCTGAGCATGTGGGCAAGACTCACCAGCCAGACACCCAGGAAAGAATTCTCTGGAGTAACTCAGATCCCACCCCATCTAACATCCCATCATAGGCCATTGGGCATATTTACCGCTAATAGTCAAAGATCAATTAAATTGCCAAAATTAGGCTGTCCCATCATACCATCCCCTCCATAAACTTATCAAGCTTAGTCTTGAAGCCAGATATTTCTTTTGCCTCCACTGCTCCCCTTGGAAGGCTGTTCCAGAACTTAACTCCCCTGAAGGTTAGAAATCTTCGTCTAATTTCAAGTCTAAACTTCCTGATGGCCGGTTTATATCCATTTGTAGCCAACATATGCTGGGTCATCGTCAGAGACTACCACAACACCAAATAGATGTCCGAATGCAGGTAAAACCATGGAGCAGGAGATATATAATTCTTCTCCAAGGAGCTCAGTCACAAATTTAATTAACACATTTTTTTTAACAAGCATCATCAACATGGAAGCATGTCCTCTGGAATGGTGGTTGAAGCATGAAGAGGCATATGAATGTTTAGCATATCTGGCATGTGAATACCTTGCAATGCTGGCTACAAAAGTGCCATGCGAATGCCTGTTCTTACTTTCAGGGGACATTGTAAATAAGAAGCAGGGCAGCATTATCTCCCATAAATGTAAACAAATTTGTTTCTCTTAGCAATTGGATCTGCCATCGAGGAGCTGGCTGGTGAATCTTGCCCATATGCTCAGGGTTTAGCTGATCGCCATATTTGGGGTCAGGAAGGATTTTTCCTCCAGGGCAGATTGGAAGAGGCCCTGGATGTTTTTTGCCTTCCTCTGTAGCATGGGGCATGGGTCACTTGCTGGAGGATTCCCTGCTCCTTGAAGTCTTTAAACCACGATTTGAGGACTTCAGTAGCTCAGGCATAGGTGGGAGATTTTTTGCAGGAGTGGGTGGGTGAGATTCTGTGGCCTGCGTTGTGCAGGAGGTCAGACTAGACGATCATAATGGTCCCTTCTGACCTTAGTATCTACGAATCTATGAGAGAAGTAGGACTGAGTGGACTTGTAGGCTCTATAAGTTTGCAGTTTGCAGAATGCAGTTATGTAACAAAACCAAAAAAATCTACATTTGTAAGTTGCACTTTCACTTGTATGAGTGAACTGAAAAATACTATTTCTTTTGTTTGTCATTTTACAGTGCAAATATTTGTAATCAAAAGTAAAATAAAGTGAGCACTGTACACTTTGTATTCTGTTGTAATTGAAATCAGTATATTTGAAAATGTAGAAAAACATCCAAAAATATTTAATAAATTTCAATTGGTATTCTATTGTTTAATTGCGATTAATTTTTTTTAGTTAATTGCGTGAGTTAACTGCAATTAATCGACAGTCCTCATTTAAACCGATTTTTTTACCAAAAAATGCTCGGGTTTTGCAAAAAAGTATTAATCATTTTTTTCCAATTTTCACCCCACTTTTGTATCATTCAAATATATAAAAAATAACTTGTTTTATTAGGAAAATACAATATTTTGCATGAGATTAATGTATTACAATAATACATTAGTCTCTGTGTACATGCAAAGCTGCCCATTGAAGTAAGGCTATGTATTGGTCTAGAAGATACACACAACAACCAAACAGGCAAGCACGTAAGCTCTGAAGTGTGTGCGCATCTGAACATACTTATGAATCTCATGCCTACTATGTACACTTTTCAAGTTTTTAGCAGATAATGGTTTAAAGATTTGACACACTAAAATGGGAAGAAAACAAAAACCTGTATCAGAATATGTTTCAGAAGACAAGGAAGTATTCAAAGTTTTAAATAAGCAGGAGAAAAGGATGAAGTTGAGTATATGTATTGCAAATGGTGTGGCCCAATTATTAAAATGTAAATATTTATAGGCTAATAGTTCTAAGTCTACAACAGTAAAGTGTTTATTCAAATAAACAATTTTATTTGGGGATTAGAGATATATTGTTTTCTTAAACTCAGAGGTGACATTGTGTTTTGAGTTCTGTTTTAGTTCTGTACCAAACCACTTTGATGTACAGAATTCAAAGCATTAATCTCCCGAATACTTTTTTCTCCTGTCTTTCCGTCCACCAAAATAAACCCTGATATTTCACCAGAAAAATTAATAATACTTTTTGGCACTGATTTTCACCTGTTTTTGTTGTTGGGGTAATAAACACTGATAAATTCCCAGGAAAAATTAAATAAAATAAAAACTGAAAACAAAGGGCCCTATCTGTACTATAAAATCTGAAGGAAAAGGGCATTGTCCCTGCTTCCAAGAGCTTATAAATACAACACTTTTCAAAATGCCATTATATCATCTTATTTTCTAGCCTTTATTATTATTTGTATTACCATAGTGCCTAGGAGTGCTAGTCATGGATTAGGAGCCCACTGTGCTAGGTGCTGACCAAACACAGGAAAAACTGATGGTCCCTGCCCCAAAGAATTTACAATCTCAGTAATTTCCTAGCATAAGCAACAGAAACACAAAAGGTATTTACTATAAACCTAGGAGCATTCCATTCCACAAACCTGCTCTTTTTCCAGCATATCAGCTTTTCTCAATATCTTCATTGCATAAATATGACCCGTATCTTTCTTCTGGACGAGGCGTACCTAAAATTAAATCGAAAACCATCATTCTAATATACCTCACAAAATTGTTAATTGTAGTATTTTGGAGGACTGAAAATTGTTGGCACTTAAAAGATGCATTTGATTTTAAAATCAGGAAGGCACAAGAACGAAAGAAACATGACATAATCCATTTATACACTTTTACACCAAATCGCAAGTTGTCTTTTGAACTTTACTGATGAATAGATTTTAACTCTCTCTTTGGGATGATCAATATTTTGACAAATTCATAGTCAAATTAAATATCACCTTTAGATCAAGGAAGCTAATTTTTACAGTAAAATCTTATTAGGGCTTGTCTACACTTGCAAATTTTCTGAAATAGCTAATCTGGAATAACTCCCTATATGGACACTCTTATTCCAGAATAAATATAACTTTGTCTGATTTAGCTTAACCCACTTCCAAGCAAAGAGGACACATACTTCCCCAAATGCTCCTCTTCCTATAACTTTCAGAGATTCAAAATCATCTAAGCCAAGCCTAGTCCTCTTCAGTCGCAGGAATTCTGTTTCTTTGCGTGCATGCTGTGACCGACGTAGTTTTTTCTATGGAAACATATCACATGATAATTACAAAGTTTATTGTAAGTTAAGTAACATACATAATTGAAAATATTTTGAATATATAAAACCATATTTTAGGAAAAAAGTTTGAGAGCATAGGAAATGTAATTCTCCATCAGATCTCTGGTCTATCTAGTCCAATATTCTGTCTCTCACATGACTTGCACCAGATGCTTCAGAAGAAGGTGCAAGAAACCGCACAAAAAGCAGGTGTGAATATTCTGTCCCGCAAGGAAGAACTCATCCTAGTAATTAGAGATTGGCTTCCAAAAAAAAAAAAAAAAAAAAGCTTCAGTTCTCCATGTTTAAGATAATGACATTAGTATTTTTAAACAATTATAGAGAGGGTGGGGAATTTTTCAATGAAATTTTTTTTGGCCAGAAAATATTGATTCATCAAGACCAATACTTTTTGCAGGAAACGGTCTGTTAAAATGGGGCTTTTTTTGTTTTTTTACTTGAAAAATTTTAGTTTAATCTTAAAAATGGAAAATTCTGGTTTTCCTGTTCAAAATGATTTTTTCTGATTTGCAATTCAAACAGTTATACTAAAAAAATTAAATGGTTGAAATTGAACAAAACATTTTGAAATAAATGAAACATATTTCAAATGACCCAAAAACAATTTTTTTTTTTGATTTTCAGTTTTTGTCCCGATTCAGGACAGAAAATGTTTTCAAAAATCTTCCACAGGACATGAAAACAGATTCTTTCAGCTCTTACTGCACCTGTACTCCAGTCCCAGTTGTGTGTTTTTTGTGCTACTTGCGTAAAGGGAGACAGTAAAAAAAAACAAAAACAAAAACAAACAAAAAAAACCCAAATCACGCAGACAAGTCTGGGGGAAGTTTAGTTACTGGTTTCCGCTATAGATGAGAGAGAGGGAAGACACTTTGTTTAAAGTACATACCACTATACAGTGACCTAAATAAACCCAGTTACAACTCTTGAGGTGGAGTGTGAGTGGGAGGACAGATACTAACTGATGGCATTTCAAAGTATTGTTTCCAGTGAGTCTTCAAAACTTGACCATTCATACACAAGAGGTTGAAAACCGCTACATATGCCACTGGGTAAAATCCACTGGCCCAGAAGACAGTTCTACTTTGGGGGCTGGACAGGTGGGAAAGGTCAAGAAAAGCAAAAGCACAGGTTCCATGACTTGGACAGGGGGAGAAAAGGCAAAAGGCAGCCATGGGTAGCCTGCTGGGCAGCAGAGATCAATATTTACTATCTACACCAAAATCTACTTTTATTAGCCAGGCAACTGGATGGTCATTAAAGTCCCAATACATTTTAGTATATAAAAGTGTCAAAGGGCTTCATCCTGAGAGATGCTGAGCACCTCACCTTCCAGTGATGTTAACAGGAATTTTAAAGGTGCTGAGACCCATCAGGGTGAGGCAATGAAGTCATACATTTTTATACTATATTTTTATTATCATTTAAAGCCACAAGATGGCATTATATACCCACTTGCTCTCTACTTTCTCTCTCCAAAGACAGGTTTCAGAGGAACAGCCGTGTTAGTCTGTATTCGCAAAAAGAAAAGGAGTACTTGTGGCACCTTAGAGACTAACCAATTTATTTGAGCATGAGCTCACGAAAGCTCATGCTCAAATAAATTGGTTAGTCTCTAAGGTGCCACAAGTACTCCTTTTCTCTCCAAAGAGGTATGTTAAATGCACCAATACAAGAACTGTTTGAGGTACATTTTATTGTATTCTTATTGCATCACGTAAAGTGCAATACAAGAAACAATGATGTGAATGACCACAGCAAGGCAATTTAATGGAGGAAATGTTGAAAGATCCAGTGAGTGTGATTCTCTTCTCACTTACCTTGCTGTGAAGCATGGCTAACTCCTCTACTGCTATAAAGCTGGTGCAAGGGAAGGAAAAGCTAGGCCCAGTGTTTTAAAAAAACCTTAGGATTTGGTTCAGTGAAAATATAAAGCCACTGTGGCGAATTCAGCCCTCAGGTGAGTATGCGTAAATCCCATTGACTTCAATGGAACTGGTCACATGCCTGAAGTTGGGTACATAAACACCTTACTGAATGAGGACCTATAACCTAGATGCTCTCTCCTGTGTATTTTGTCTTCTGCCTCTTTCAGCCAAGTGTTTCTGGCCCTTTTTTCTTTCCTTCCCAACTCCTAACTGAATTTCAAACAGATTTGTACCCCAAAAAACAAGTGTTATGTTACATTCTTCTTGGGTGCCTCTATCCTATCGGATGATAAGTACTGAACAGGGGTGTAAGCAACTTTTTTTTTATTAAAAAATTTAAAAGCTTATTAATGGCTTCTATTATAAACACTAAAATATGCTGTTTCTTTATAACAGCAAAACTTATATAATAAAAAAAATCTCAGTATCATATTGGATAATAAGACTGTTAAGAGTCAACCATATACACATCGAACACTAGCTTTGAACAGTAACCATGAAAGATAAAGCCCTTCAAATGTATTTCAATTGGTATTACCTCTTCATCTGCCAGGCCTTCTTCTTCCATGGCCACTTCTAGCTTTTTCTGCCTGCACAGGTAGACATACAAGTACACATTTAAAACAAAAACAAAAAAAATCAGACAGTACAAAAATGCCTTCACTTCACAGATCTCCCCTCTTTATCCTTGACACAAACTGGAGAATGGAAGTGTAATATTAAAAAGCTGTAATTTTAGAGTGCTCAGCGAACCCATTTCTTGGAAAAGAGATCCTGTATAAAAACAAGTTTCAGAGTAGCAGCCGTGTTAGTCTGTATCCGCAAAAAGAAAAGGAGAACTTGTGGCACCTTAGAGACTAACCAATTTATTTGAGCATAAGCTTTCCTGAGCTACAGCTCACTTCATTGGATGCATTCAGTGGAAAATACAGTGGGGAGATTTAGATACATAGAGAACATGAAACAATGGGTGTTACCAAACACGCTGTAATGAGAGTGATCACTTAAGGTGAGCTATTACCGGCAGGAGAGTGGGGGGGGAAAAACCTTTTGTAGTGATAATCAAGGTGGGCCATTTCCAGCAGCTGACATGAACGTCTGAGGAACAGTGTGGGGTGGGTGGGCGGAATAAACAAGGGGAAATAGTTTTACTTTGTGTAATGACCCATCCACTCCCAGTCTCTATTCAAGCCTAAGTTAATCGTATCCAGTTTGCAAATTAATTCCAATTCAGCAGTCTCTTGTTGGAGTCTGTTTCTGAAGTTTTTTTGTTGAAGAATTGCAACTTTTAGGTCTGTAAGTGAGTGACCAAAGAGATTGAAGTGTTCTCCGACCGGTTTTTGAATGTTATAATTTTTGATGTCTGATTTGTGTCCATTTATTCTTTTACGTAGAGACTGTCCAGTTTGACCAATGTACATGGCAGAGGGGCATTGCTGGCACATGATGGCATATATCACATTGGTAGATGTGCAGGTGAATGAGCCTCTGATAGTGTGGCTGATGTGATTAGGCCCTATGATGGTGTCCCCTGAATAGATATGTGGACACAGTTGGCAACAGGCTTTGTTGCAAGGATATCATTTAAAAGAGAACACCATGTACCTATGTCTGTCAACTCTCTAGTCACAGAGCTCCCATTGACTACAGTGGGAGTTTCACAAAAAGGCATACACGATGATATGCCCCAGTCAGCATATGTTAGCTATTATATTTTGACAGCACCAGATGTCTGCATAGAATTTCACATAAAAGATGACAAGGTCTTTGCCCCAAAGAGCCGTCTAAGGCCCCAGTCCTGCAAACACTTATGAACATACTCACTCGTGCCTTTGCTCACATGTGACCAGACGTGTTGAAGTCAATGGGTCACATGGGTAAGTTTATATGTGTGTGTAGTGTAGTAGTCCAAATCCTAGATACAAGGGAATAAAGTGATGAGGGTGAAAGTATGAGCCTTTTGAAGTGAATGGGACAATACATGTGAGTAAAGATTTTGAACAACAAGTGCTAGGATGTTAAGTTCTAGGGTTTCATTTTGAGCCCTTCTCTACTCAAAAATCAAGACTTTTCCCCATTTTGAGAAATACAGCAGAATCTCCTAAGTAGGACTCCCCAGTGGACAATCTATCCTCCCAACTGGGAGTGAGAGGCCCAATTAATAGCATACCAACTAAATAAGAAGTAGCTCAAAAGATATTAAAACCTGTTCTTTGGTTGTATAACCTCAATAAAAAAATTTCTGTTACCACAGAAACAAGTATTCATTATTGTAAAGACTTGGTATTTTGACACTTTGATCAGTAGCTTTACATTGCGATGTCGCTGGAAACTAGGGATGGATGATAACGGAGGTTAAAATGAAGTTGGTTGGATCTATACTAGTGCTTCTGGAATTATTACCACCCACACTAGTGCAACAGTGAGAGATTTTAACAAATATGCGAGCCCAAACAAGGCCTTAGTGCTAAGATACATGTACCCTCAAAAGAATGTACCCTCAAATGGTTAATAATTTGGTTAGAAATCAATACAACTTTCTAAGAAAAACTTTGTGCAGGGACTAAAATGACTTTAAAGCACAGACTTGGTCTGTAGAACTACCACACAAGGCCAGTATAAATAAAAAGCTAAAAAGTGTGAAAGAACCCAGACACAGTACCTGGTTTCTCTCTCCTCATGCTGTAAAATTAGGTTGCTGTAGAAGTTCTCCAGTGTAAGTTTGGCCACAGTCACTCTCTCCCGGGTGTGGTTGCTCATGGGAAAGGATGTTGTAGTCCCTCCAGTCATTGCCATAGTAACATGTACTGAAACAGAGCACATAAAAAGTTACTCAAAAGAAATGTTTTGTTCCCCCCCCAGAAAATCAGAGGCAATGTGAAATTCATGGGGAACGCACCTCCCTTGTACATAAACAAATCCATAAACTTCATATTGTAAAGTTAGAGAGACTTAGTAGGGGAGGATATGCTACCTACTTACCAAAAAATAACAGAAACCTTTCTACTGGCAAAACAAGGAGTGAATCATAGCAGAGAACCATGCTGGCTACAGGCAACGAACCCTCATGTACTTGTCCATGCATTAAGAGATTTACCACTGGCTGACTAGTGTCCTGCCCAAAACAAATATATAAAAATAAAATAAGTCTGGGGCAAGAGAAGAGAAGCCATCCATGTAGCTCTCTAAATGTAATATGTATAGATGGCACAAGAAATTGAAGAAATGCAAATCCTTAGCAAAAAGAAATGGTGAAAATGATAAACGAGCGAACACCTAGAAAGATAAGCTAAGCCAGGCATAAAAATTTGATTGTAAACTATCTTACATTTAAAACCCATTTAATAGAATTGAATACTGACACTTGGATAATACAGTATCTAGAAATCATCCCCTCGAAAAGGCAACTTCCTTAGTTTATGGAGAGATTTTTCTTACTATAAACATAATAAAAAATGGATCATGAAACTCCTCTTACTCCAAATGATCAGACTCTGAGGAAGTTTTCAATCACAAGGCAAATACCTTTCCAGGTAATTTCCTTCAGGCCCATTTACACGCCATATTGACAAGTTGGTAAAGAAGAACTGTTTAGGACATTCAGAAAGGTGTTTTCAAGAGACATTCCTCACATGTGGAAATCACTGCAAGGAAGTGTTTAGGCCTTTTCAGGCTGTGAGTGAATCCTCCTACACCAGCACACAGCCATTCCAGGTTTATGCCTTAACTACCTGCAGGACAGGGGATGTGGTCACTAAGTGGCAGGACGTGGCTGCTCGGAAACAGTCTGGGGGCTGGTTAAAAAGACCAAAAACCCCACCTCATTCTGCCGACTGGTTTTAGGGCTGGAGTCTCATGAGCTGGGTGGGCTGGAACTCCCCACAGTGGAGGTGAGCAAAGCCAGCTCAGCTCTCTCAGATCCAGGGGAGCAGGGCTGTTAGGAAGCGTTCTTTTCTCCTAGCAGTCATGTTCTAGCCCTGGGTAAAAGCATGCTGGGAAATAAAGCAGTGTATAAGCTCTGCCATTCCTCAAAAGAGAGAGACACCTGGGCGAAAACATTCTGTGCTGATGGCTCCTTCCTAAAAAGCTACTTTGTTTGTATAATCCTTTTGCTTCATAAAGGGATTTTGAGTCAGCCTCCTCTGACAAATACCTGAATCAATGTCTGATCTTTGGATATATATTGTAATGCCCCCTTTTTTTTTTTTTTTTTTTGGTGAACTGCTAAAAGGTCCCAGACAGAGGTAGGCTTTTAGTTTATAAAATCTAGGGACATGCCTTTTTTTTTCGGTCTGACCTGTCACACACACAATGAGGCAGTTTGCGAAGATGGCATTTGGTCTTGTTGACTTTTAATTGAATTTTATGTGGCAGTAAGACATTGTCTCTTTGCTAGAAACGTACTTGCTGTGCAGCAAGTAGCGGGGTTTTACAACACTATGCGGATAGTATTATTTTAACTGTGCATTTTGAACTATGCCCATATGCCACTTATGAGAATAAGGTGAATATTTATACCTACACAACGGGGATACTGATGCACTGCAATACAGCAGATTTTACAATCCTGTAGCTACTTCTGAATTTTTTTAATCAACATTTTATCTCCTTTGATTTTCTCCCAGTGAGACCTGTTATCTGTTCAGTTAACCTATTATCATCTTTATTAACTACAGATAAATACCAGACAAACAAAAATACAAGAGGTTATCCTCTCTTACACCAATACCACCAGGTGCGCATATTCTCTCTCTCTCTCATGGTAGCAAGTTTTCCAAAAGCCAGAAAACTGATCTACAAAATCTCTAGCCATTTCTATTAATTATATACCGTTTCAAGTCAGTCCACCGATAGGTGGAAGTCTTGATTAAATATAAGTATACTGTATTCCTATCGTGTCCATACACGTTGTAAGAGTTTCACTACAGTTCTCTATTGACAAAGACAGTGAAAGGGAAACATAGACCAGGTGATTTTACTATTGAAGTTCAGTATATGCACACATCCAAACTGAACAATTCCAATTACCTTTCCAGAGCTGAACACAGAGTGATATCAGTGATCAAATTATTTCCAGGAATGATCCAATATGGCAAAAACAGCCTTTTGATCCTTTAGGAATTTTGGCACTGAATGTATTGTTAACCCAAGCTCAAAATAGATTAAACTTTAATTAAGGTATAAAGACTTTTTGGTTGTACCAGCCAGGTATTCATCATTTGCAAGTCTAGTACTCCCAGTTGGCTAAAATAACAATATATTTTTGTTTCCTGTTCATTTGTTTTCTCCATGCTCCTATACACACAAATGCAGACACTACCAAACAGGGAGTCTCAGTCACTTGATTTCATTAAGCCTGATTTTTTTGGCACTAAAGCACTAGACTATAAATAGAATGGTTGATTCTAATTGAGAGTAGTTCTAAAATAAGAAAATACAAGAGTTCCTGATTAGTAAATTAGGGATCTCAGAGAAAGCTATTTAACAGATAAGAAGCTTGCCATTACTGTCATAATATAGCATAAAACCACCAAGAAAGGGAGAGAATTACTGTTGCAAGTGTCCATTTCCAAAATCCCATTGCCTTCCCCCCACTCATGTCAGCCATTTCTCTATGTTGCAATTAATGCTTCCTTCAGACTAAAGTTTAGAACACATTTTGCTTACATTGTGATAGTCACATTCAAGTAGCTAACAGTTCCAGCACTGTAAACAAAATCATCCCCAAACCATCCTCTCAACTAAGGGCCTAATCCTAATAAACTCCTTTGATTCCCATGAGTGAGAGATAAAGGAGCACAGAGGTCTTACAGGAAGTGCACAGCACCTTTCAGAGTTGTGCCCTAAATTTCCACATGTGTACACACACACACACCCCACACTCAGCTGGGAAGAGGCAAGCAAAATATTTAAATCTGGCCTTTATAAACAACTGATGCGGGCAGAGGGTGGGGTAGAAAAATCAAAGGAAGCCCTACTCAGAATTTTGGCTGAACACTGCATTCACTGATCTCACTATATCAATCAAAATGTTTTGAAAAGGTGCCACCCACATTTCTTGGAGATACCCATAAAAGAGCCATTAATCCACCCAAGATCATGCCATTTACATAATGGAATCATTCTATTCCTGAAGTACCATCAGAGTTGCATTAGGTTTATGGAACTATAAAGAACAGCATTTAAACCAACCAGTCTATTTCGCTTAAAGCCTTCTGGCTGAGAAACCCAAAGCCCTAAGCCCTTTTCAACATGTCTATTACTCTGGGAAAATTGATATAAAAGATTATGACTTAGAGACATCACCACAATCTGATCAACATGAACCTTTACATTTACTACGAGTAAAAATTGCTTAGACCATACCCTCCACCCTTTTAAATCTAAAATCTTTTCTAATTGGACTGTGAAAGGAAAACTAAAGCACCAATTACTGCCTCTTCAGTCTACTCTCAAATCAGTTGTATGGCTGGATTTAAATCTATGTCAGGCCCCTGCCAAATGTTCCTGAAATCACTGCTCGACTGGCGAAAACCTCAACATAGCACAGTTTCTCCTACACAAATGGCCATGCAAAGCCCCCTGCTCAAAATCTATTCTTCTTCTTCAGAGTGTTGCCATGGACACTGAAATTTTGATTAAACCAAAGCATAGTGGAGCATCATAGTGTCTGTGAGATGGAACCACTTGCTATAGGAAGCCAGAAGAGGAAAGATGGAACGATAAAGCAACTTGAGAACGACTGCCCTCGAATGAAACTGACCCTCAGGAAAGTTGGGAGCATTTCCTAGCAAGAGAGAAATGAGCACACAAAACCTGTCTCTCTCATATTCAGAGCACTGCGTCATCTCCAGACTTCAGAGATTCTGATGAGATCGAATTCAGAAAGGCCAGAAGAACTTAAGGGTGAGGTAGCATTAGATCTTGTGGGTAGCTGCCAACTGACAGCAAGCATGGAGATGTTGAGTCCTGAGTCATTGCATGATAATTAGAGCCCCATTGCTACTTACCCAAAATAGCTATTTACACTAAAGGTGTGGGTGGCAGAGGGAAGTGGGAAAGATGATCTAGTGGACAGGACACTGGCCTTGGACTTAGACTCAGGAAATGTAGGTTAAATCCTGGCTCAGCCACAGACTTCCTGTGGGACCTTGGGAAAGTCACTTAATCTACCTTGTGCCTCAGTTCCCCATCTATAAAATGGGGGTAATACTTCCCTATCTCACAGAGGTGTTGTAAGGATAAAATCCATTAATATTGTGAAACGTTCAGAAACTACATTGATCGGGCCATTATAAGTACATGGCTAGAGAGAATAACCATGATGACAGATCCTTCTATCAAACCTTTCCAGCTCCTTGTATTTTGTTTTGAGTATTTTTTTATTTCAATCTTTTAATGGGAATTCATGCTTATGAAAAGGTGTTATAAACACTGAAAACTGAAGACATCTATTCACTCAACAGGCACAGCATGAGCAGAGGAATGAGATCTTTCTCAAATAAGTTTCTTATATTCAGGGGACACTATAGTCTCCAAGCCCATTCAATCCTTGACATCTCTTGCAGAGGCTGCCAGCAACAGGGCAAATTAGTGAGAATTGCAGTGGTAGTTTTCTTGTTGTGGATAGCTCTCCAGCAAGAACTGGAATGAGGTTACCAGTCTCATTAAAGATAAACCCTCTGCACAACTTCATTAGATGGTACTATTTGCTACCACTCATCAAATTAAATGGCATTTGAACCAGACAGTGCAAATATTCTTCCCAGCCACCACCATTTTTGCAAACTGTATTTATGAAATTTTA